ATGCGTTCCACATAGTCACCAAATTTCAAAGTATTTAGAGAGAGAACAATAATATTATTTTTATTATTATTATTATTATTATTATGCACATATAATTTTTAAATCGTCGCATAGATTGTTAATATTTTTATGATTATTTTAACGTAGGTAACATTTGTCTTAAGCGGCATGTCGACCATGGTCCTTAGTTGATTCACATTTAAAGTAACCAGATAAAGGACTAGTTGTTCAAGTAATGATTGTTCTTTTCTCATTTCATTGCTGCTCTTTCCAACACCAGATAAACAGTATTGGCTTTGGTTCTGGGAGTTGATGTTGCAGATACACATATTGTTGGTAACGTTGAAGTATACAAGAACAAAGTGAATAAGCGAAAACTGCCTATTAATTCTCTAAAACGGATATATATTTTCAGAGCTGTACAGACCATGTTCACTGAAAACAAATATATTTTTGAAACATTTCCCAAGTTGAGCTCTATCTTAAGGCAATATTATTGTTTGGTGAATAAAAAAGAGTCGTATCTTTTGATTCGATAATGTGAATATTTCAGAAGGACATCATATCTATGTTCTGATTTGCAAACATTTTTCTTATTCGCACTTAAAAAATTGAAGTTTGAAGAAGAATAAAATAACCCAACATTATCCTTTAACACCAAGATCAGTTCAATGTACGTTAAGATGACTAAACCCTTGTTATAGAACCTGTTATATAAAAAAAAATGCATTACACCATCAAAATGATTAAATGTTTGTCCCTTAGTATATACGGTCTTTCTTCGAACTAAGTCAAAATCGAGAAAGCAATAAGGTTTTAGACAGAGTATTCTTCTGTGTTTGAGGAGCTGCTTTAACCCCAAGATGAATCATTACGTAATATGGAGTAGTCATCTACCACCAGTGAAAAATAACGGGAGATAATACACCTGCTCCGATTTCTGATCTTAATCTGATTTGCTTTTGGTCGTTAGCAGTTTATTACCAAAGCGTCGTTTAGAAGATGATATATGCGAGGGCAAGACATTGGTTGATAAGTTACATATACGGATAATTTGATGAAAAATGTTGAAGAGAATCATATAGGAAAGTTTAAAAGATTAGTTGTCATAAATTTACATTGCTCCGAATGAGGAAATATTGATTTACACCTTGAAATATTGTGAAACTTTAATAAACCATACAATGCAATAAAAACGTTATTAAAGCCGTGCGTTATCTGTATATCACAATACAATAATTTTTTTAAATAATACAAGTTTCTATGCATAAAAAACAGACTGAGATGTTTATTTCAAAGTTGGAAAAAAATGTCCTCCCTATTTGGCTACAAGTTGTGTTGTATTTGAGCAATCTTAGTATCGTAAAGGAATAACCGAAAAGTGAAAAGAAACAAAAACGCTTTATAAATTGTATGTGTCAGAAAGCTTTTCTGGGTTTGCCTTCATCAGTAGCGACTAAAGCCGAATACTTGAAAGCCTTCGATAAAAAAGTACCGAAATATTAAACAGCTTTATGAAAAAAGGGAGTGTTGGTACTATAGTCTAGCAAATATCCCGTGCTATGAAAATATGCAAATTAAAAATAACTGTTAACTGACGACGATACAAATTTACAGGATGATTTATTTTCATTGTCATTAGAAGAAGATCGTTTTGTTTGTGTCGAACGTGATGATCGCATCTGTAATTTCAGCAATTTATATGAAATTTGGTGGTGCATTTCACGTGTTTAATGAGGCTGTTCTCTATAATGTGTATAAAAAGCCTAATACTATAAATTATTTTGAACTTTTTTGTTCTAACGACTACAGTTTACTTGTCAAACTTGCAAAATTTTGTAAAACTGTTTTGTCTGTAAATTTCATTAAACATATACTTTATACCATTGCATACGTAACCATGTCTTCTATTCATTTTAATGTTTTGTATATATGTTATTGTGATTATTACTGTTTATATTCACATACCTCTGATGGGGTATTGAAAAATAAAAGTTTCAAAGATTTCATCAGTAACGCGCAAAAACAAAAAATATTTGAAAGCCATAATTGGGAAAATAAACTATACAATTCTTACTATATATAACATTTGAGAATAATAACAATTTTATTATAATACATTTGACTGTTTCAGTTGCAACTCAAATGTCGATAATTGAATTAGCATTTAAAAATGAAATACATTAAAACCAAGTCAGAACAACAATGGTTAGTTTCCTTAGCATAGACGTATATTTCGTTTGTTAAGAAGAGCTATCGCATGTATATTTGTAATATATATCACTTCTTTGTGCCATCTAGTATCTCTGAAATGTCTGAACTTTTTTAAAATTCATATTTGAATTCAATAAAAGGCTTGACATTTTACAATCACATATTATAGTTTAATGGGTGATGAAAGTATGGCAACATCGACATAAAGTAGGTCATTTTGGATTATTATTAAAATATAATATATGATTGTAAAACTTCAAGCCTGACACATAAACAATTTATAAAGTTCGTGCGTCCGAAGCGATTTTCTTGATCTACTTTCATCAGAAGAGCTCAAACCTAAATATTTGAAAGCCAGGGATACTTAAATACGCTATCATCTTAGGAGGTATATAACCGAAAAGAACCAAAACGGAATAGCCAGGGATAGTTTGTTATAATGGTGACCTACTGTGCCTTTGCTTTGGATCGTGGCGATTTAAGTTTTTTTTTATATTTGTATAGACATTTGTCCATGATTTAGAACCAGGGACTTATATTATTTTTGATATGTCGTTTAAGTTTTTAGAGTTGCTTTTTTGTTGACTCAAATTACTTTTTATATGTCTTTTTCGTGTTGTTCTAGTGTTGTTTCATTCATGTATACCACGTTTTTCCTGTTATTCCTTTAATATGAAAAAGAATAAACAGATGAATGGACGGACACACAGACCGAAAAACATGACGCCCCTCTTCTATCGTAGGCAATGCACGATTCAACAGTTATCATGTTGTTTTCCAAATACATGACATGCACGAAATCTGGAACAATAAACTAACTATCTGGGATACATAAAGGTCATTTCTTATTTTCTATGATGAGTTCCTTTATAAACCTTGTGTATAAATGAATACCACGATGAATCAAGGGCATTCCCCTTTGTCGTATTTTTAATCATCCTTTACCGGCTGTGGGTATGACTTCTAGTCGTTTTGTGACACTAATCCCATATGACCTCAATATGTGAATGTACAACACACTGATCAGCGGTCACCTCCATTATGTACAGTGTACAACACGAATATCAAATTTCTTAAGGTCATACCTCAATCTTGTAAAGTTGTAAAGGGTAAGTATAACACTGTGAACTAAGGTCGTATTTGTCGTATCCCCTTATAAATTACTGTACAATGCAATGATACGAAGTTATTCCCCTTATTATAACATAACGACCATATGCATTTCATCATTCATTGTCTTTGATAAGCACACGTATAAACCCCCTTTGTATATATCTAGATGACTTCAGGTCATTCTCCTTCATTTTTTTTTTTTAATATTTTTTTTCCTAGGGAGGAATTACCCTAGATGATTTGTGAAAATCATCCCAATTGACCCCTGTTTATAAAAAAAGACTTAAATGGTGTACAGTTATCAAGCATAATTAAAACGCAATGACTATAGGACATCTTCAATTGTCTATGACAAGTACAAGTACAAACCGGCGATTAAACTCCCTCTGTATATTAATGAATTTACATGAAAATGAATCACGGTCTATGTCTTATTTTTATAATTGTTTCTTCTAATTTGACCTTAGGTCATTTCGTTTTGTAAACAAATTCTCACAGACAAGATGGATGACTTTATGCTTCTTTGTTCTACATTAAGATACAATAGGGTTGACAGGAATAATGGTGTTCAGCTTGGGCCTTTGTCATATTATGTATTTTAATTGTCTATTCTATTTAAATTATAAAAGTTTAAACCCCTATCCCATTGACCCTGATTCAAATGGTTATGGTCATGTAACATTGTAAGGCTCATTTTACCTGATTTGAGAGTAGCAGTTATCATAATCATCAATTTTCCAAACGGTTCATACCATTATACGGCTGACAACCACTTGAACTTTGTACATATATTGAACATAAATGTAACATAGACGACAATCAAAAACTAGTGTTATTGAAAATACTTTCATGCATGGAGATCTTTTAGTGAACAGTTTTGATCTATATCATTTTCAAAAGTTATGATTGATATCATTTATATTTTGTCTAATTGTGTATATTAAAAGGCTTCATAACAAGTGAGAATGGGATATCGCTTGATATTAGCCAGAGTTATGTAATTCTAATATGATAATAAACGAGCCTTTTACGAGTTTAGTAGTATTATTTAAATCAAATAACGAGAGATAATATCAAGCGATATCCATTGTTTTAAGTTGTTACACCTATTTTTCTTATGAGAAACATTCCAGGTGTGTTGAATTAAAAATTCCTCGAGTCGTTGATCTAGTCATTTGCACTGTCATACCAGTATGAAGTCATATGTTCGGTTCCGGTGTCAGATTTTAACATCAGACATTTTAAAACTTTTTGTTTGCTGCAGAATGTAATAAAATTTGACAAAAAGAAGATTTTCAGCTGAAAACTGTGAGTGTTTTGTATATTATTGAAGAAATCACATATTTTCTTTGCCATGAGCGAAATGTGCATCGTTTTAACCTTTGCAAGTCATTAATGACCTAACTAAAGAACAGCCAATGGGAATGTCGTAGTATCGTCTCATGATGATAGATAAGCCATTCAAGTTAAACGCATTTTTTGTTTTACGTTTGTGTATTACACTCCTAGCAGTGTGATACGAGAAATATCTCTTCGTGCGAGAAATAGATAACAGGCCACAACCATAATAGAAATTTCCTTATTTTGATAATAATATTTAATAAAGATAATATGAAATAACCTAATGGCACTCAACCTTAGAGTTGGCTTTATCTTTTCATAAATTCCAAATTTTAATGCAGAACATTTCTATTAAATAAATTAGAATCATTCATGCATATAGTATTTCAATTTTTTTTTATTACCTAAACGTTTGTTCAAATCAAAATAATACAGAGTTATAAAATTGCTTCCACACAGTCGGTTAGAAACTAAAACTTGCTTTTAATGTATATTATTCTCAATTTTTATAAACTTTGCTGCTCGTTCATAAATGACTTCAATATCAGTTTCGTTTTCATATATTTTACGTTTTTTATCAAATATGTGTAATTTATATAAGTATTTAATAAGAAAGTTTTCAATTTTACAATCTTTGTTTTCAGTCGCATACATCAATGGCGTTTTTCCATTTGTATCAGCTAAGATAACACCAGCCCCGTTCAATATCAATTCTTCGACAATTTCCAAAAACCCGTTTTTGGAAGCGTATGACAAAGCAGTCATTCCCTCAAAATCACGTACGTTAACCTCTTCTCCTTTAACTATTAGCAATCGAACCATCTTATAATTGCCATTTTTACATGCCCACATTAGAGGTGTTCTTCCTAATTTGTAAGATGTATTATGGACTGCTCCTTGTTCTAATAATAATCGGACAATATCACAGTTGTCATTATGAAATGACAACGTTAGAGGTGTATATCCATTAAATTCAGAAGCATCAATGTCTGCTCCTTTTTCAATTAATAGTCGGACAATATTATCGTTGTCATTTATACATGACCACATAAGAGGAGTTTCTTCTTCTTCATTAGATACATTTACGTTTGCTCCTTTTTCTATTAATAATCAGACAATATCACTGTTGTTATTTGCACATGACCACATTAGAGGGGTTTGTCCGTCATGGTCAGAAGCATTAACGTCTGCTCCTTTTTCTATTAATAATCGGACAATATCATTGCTGTCATATATACATGACAATATAAGAAGAGTTTGTTCTTTTTCATTAGATACATTTACGTTTGCTCCTCTTTCTATTAATAATCGGACAATATCACTGTTGTTGTTTGCACATGACCACATTAGAGGGGTTTGTCCGTCATGATCAGAAGCATTAACGTCTGCTCCTTTTTCTATTAATAATCGAATAATATCACTGTTGTCATTACGACATGACAATGTTAGAGGGGTTTGTCCATATATATCAGTTACATTAACGCCTGCTCCCTTTTCTATTGATAATCGAACAATATCACTATTGTTATTATCACATGACAATGTTAGAGGGGTTTGTCCATATATATCAGATACATTAACGTCTACTCCTTTTTCTATTAATAAACGGACAATATCACTGTTGTTTTTTTTGCATGAAAATATTAGAGGGGTTTGTCCATTTTTATTAGACAGATTAACGTCTGCTCCTTTTTCCATTAATAATCGAACAATATCAGTGTTATCATGATCACATAACGATATAAGAGGGCTAAGTCCATACATATCAGATACATTAACGTCTGCTCCTTTTTCTATCAATAATCGGACCAGATCACTGTTGTTGTTTTTACATGAAATTATTAGAGGGGTTTGACCATTTTTATTAGACAGATTAATGTCTGCTCTTTTTTCTATTATAAATCGAACAATATCAGTGTTGTCATTATCACATAACGATATTAGAGGGGTTAGTCCATGCATATCAGATACATTAACGTCTGCTCCTTTTTCTATTAATAATCGGACAAGATCGCTGTTGTTATTTTTACATGAAAATATTAGCGGGGTTTCTCCAAACCTATTAGATACATTGACGTCTACTACGTTTTCTATTAATGATCGGTTTAAATTTTCTTCAGATTTAAGTAACAATTTTACTATGTTGTTATGACCATTTTGACATGCTGCCATTAAAGGAGTCCATCCATTCATATCTGTGGCATGAATATTGGAACCCTTGTGTATGAATATCCTGACAACATCTGTAAGCCCTGCAGAGCAGGCTTTTATAAGTAGAATAGAAAATGCTTCTCCTTTAGTGTCATTAATGAAATTCAATATATACTTTATTAAATCAGAAAAATTGCTTTTAAAAGCTAAACTCAAAGGTGAGAGGGGAAATGATCCGGAACAACCATCCTGCATATAGTTAAACTTGACAAATGACTCCTTCTTTTCAATATTAATAGTCATCAATTCACTGCGTCTTTCTTCGTGTATTCTATTCAGATAGTCCATCAGTTTGTTCCTATATTTTTCGCAATTCATATGCCTGCTGTAAAAAAAACTAGAAAATTTTCCCCTGGACCACTGATCAATTATTCGTTTAAAGTACTCGTCTTCGTTAAAATCATCTATCAAGAGGCCAAATTCCTCAACCTTTTCATCCGGTGAAACTAACGATTTCAGCATTGTACGTTCGTATAACATTTTACTGTCAGCAAATCGTAAAAATGTGCTTTGAAATTTTTGCCATAATAGAAACAAAGAAAGTCAAATGTTTTATCGTGTATTGCAGAGTATGATATAACTTGTCGCAAAAGATTGTAATTAGCTCTAACAAATAAAGGAACAAGTGATTCCAGTTGTTCCAGAATACGCTGGCGAAGAGTATTTCGTGGAATTCCACAATCTTCAAAGAAATCTTCCCTCGTTTGCCGTTCTTGTTCACTCTCCGAATTTCTAAGGACAGATACATCTATATAACCATTATTTATAACGAGAAAAAACAAAGCGCAAAATTTCGTTTTGTCAAGAAGTTTCCTCAACTCATCTATTTCTTCAGTGTATATATTAAAAGGGTTTTTGAAAAACTTAACGACGTCAAAGTGTTCATTTTCCTTGCATAATGATTTGTACAATGCAAACATTAAAGGCAGGAACTCGTATTTGTCCAAATCATTTTTGATATATTTCACCGCAGGTTCAGGCAAATATTGACGGGCAATTTGTAGTTTTACCTGCGATGATAGATAAAAGGTTTCACAAGATAAATTGCAAAAGTTCTCAGTAAATAACTTTAATCTTTTAAATTGATTTTCATTGAACACTTGAATGCGACATGAAGCAATTACTTTCGTACTATTATGTTTTAACACATGATTTGTTGAATCATTTCGTTTTATCCATTTTTCAACTTCCGTTTGGATGACAGTATATTTTCCACATATATCATCGATTACAAATATTTGTTTCCGATTTCTTTGAAAGTATTTGTCGATATCGGAAGGACTGTGTGTAGGGATACTACGATAACCTTCAGTGTCGCGTAGAAACAGTGCAACATGATGAATAGTTGCAGATTTTCCAATTCCTGATGTACCTATGACCGTGCAGCAGTTACTGTCCTTCAAGGATTCCAAAACGTAATTAACGGCATCTGTTTTGATGAACAATTTATTTTGTTCCTCCCATTCTTCAATTTCGATTTGATGACTTTCTACAAGCAAATAACGATAATGATATTTCAAAGATAATGATACTTTTCAAATGTCAACGTTTACCCCCTTGAGAGACAATGTTCATATCATGTATAATACAAAACACATGTAGTGCATATATTCAAAAAACTGTTCTTGATATTTGGATTGATTGATTTTAATTCATTTTTCTTGTTTAACGGCTAGTGACAAATATTTCATGTATGTTCATGGCAAGATCAAATTAACAACAAATACAAAAATAAGGTTGTGTATGGAAAGAGTCTAGTGGGATTAGGGTGAGAAATTTAGACTACGACTGTAAATTAAGGTATGTTGGATAGGGAATGAATTTTGTAATACAGCACGAAACCTTCGGACCTGCAAGGATTCTTCAACGTACATTCAGCGTGGAACACTCAAACAGGTTTAACATCCAAATTTGTCCAAATTCCGACCGGATATACATCTCGCAGAATTAAAGCGGACGCCTACTTTACTAATGTGTTTCTGTCCGTGAAGGGATAAGCATTAAGTGTCTAAACCCTAGCAAACCTTTCTGATTTAGGGTAAGTACACTCATCAAAGCTCTCCAAATTTGGCTATTACATTCAGTATAAAACTAACTGTACCCATCTTAAGAATGACTACTTTTATGGTCTTTTTTGGTTAAATAACTCTTAAAATTTTAGCCATTTTATACATGCATGGCTTTTAAATGTTTAGGTGGGTGCGTTTATGATGGATATAGATCCAGAGAAGAGCTTCGGATGAAAGAAATAAGAGGGGCCAATAAGGCCCTAATTTTGTTCAAATATTAGTACAAATTAAAAAGTTTCCATACATATTTCTAAATGTGTCCTTACCACACTAAGGTACAAGGTGTTCAGAAAATAAAAACAGATTTCACATATAACGAGTTACCATGGCAATAAACCATAACGAAACTTGTATATTATGCAAATATTTTGTATTTTCCTTATTTTTTCAACTTCTACGTATATACTAGATTGGAAAACTATGTGCGCACCCAAGAAAAACAACTTTATATTTGTTTGGATTATGTCAATAGTTATAATAGAGCTTCTCTTAAATTAGTTTGTTGTTTCTCGGCTGCGCACGATGTTTCAATAATGGAATTAACAAATGAAACTGCAAAATTCTGCAGTTTTCCTCATTTTCACAAAAAAGATGAATATCATGACGTAATTATGACGTCAAAACATCAAACATCTTCTGTAATTCATTTATATTTCTTGATTGTATGCATTTCTAAACATTGTGTGCATATTTGAAATAGTTTTGAAAAGTTTTATTTGATTGGGGCAAATCCGGCCCTTTATAAAGTAAGATTTTTATCTAAGACTGAAAGTGTCCGGCTATAAATACATAGCAACAAAACATATAACATCTTATATAACCAATTGCCGAACAGAAAAAAAAATACTACAAAACAAAGAATGAGATTTTACGCATGTCTTTAGATTGGTATTTTCAAAAGAAGCTGTTCTGAAAATATGTTGATATTTAGGCCAGACCCTTCCAAGTTGTTACACTTGCAATAAACCTTTATAAAACAGCTTAATTAATAATACAAATACACGTCTATAAGTGACAAATGAGGGAAGTTGTCGAAGAATGTCTCTAGTACATTAGAATAATATATTTACCATTAATCATTTTTATCGTAAGTTAGCACCTCTGTTGTTTGACAGTCAAATATGCATTATACATGGAATGTAATTATATACGTCTTGTATCTCTTATAATGATTTTCCTGACAGAAAGTTGTAAATTACCAAACATTATTGAGTAGATGGCAACAGTAATATACTTATTTTCAAATCTCTGATTTAAAAAACAATCAATATAAATGAAAAACCAGAAGGAATCGTATCAACTCCAAACGGTGCGAGACACGGTGCTTCAACAGTTTAGGCATTTCTAACGATGCAAGCATTACCTTCCATGTGAATAATCAGTCATTGCAAATGTCACAAAAGAGGTACAACTATTATCATATATATTCAAACATCTAATACCCTGAAAACTAAGGCTTCTCAAAAGAGAAGTTCAATTAATCGTTTCGAAAGTTTTCAGAATGCAATAATGATTTGCTTGACCGTTGTGGAATAAATGTTTTACATATAACCAGTGATATATTGTTTGTCTTAGTCACAATCATGTCCACCTTTTTGTATTTAGGATATCATATAATGCGCTTTCGATGCATATTAAAGTTGACCTTCTGTTGTTTTTATTTTCACCCCTGTGTTGATTTTGTCGGTTATGGTCTTGTCTATCCTATTGAAACATAAAAGAAAACTGTGATATCATTAAATTTCTTATATATCTGTAGAAAGGTTGTAGGTTTTCAAATTTTTATCTTCTCGTGTCAAAATAAAGAACGCTTATAAAAAAATTAAGATGATGAACACGTGCAAATGACGATAAAATTAATACCACTTACAAAGAAATGCAGGTACAGTTGAAACGTCCAAATGAAGTCATGCTATTACTAGATCCGAGTATGTAAACAAACAGGTACATTGAATGTCCTGAGGTTTGGAAAATGCAGACTGTTCTGCTTGTGCCAATGGTAATTTGCTATTTCTTAAAGTTTTACTTGTACCGATGCAAAATTTCCTTCTGTTGCATCTTTTAGAGAAGCACGGATCGACAAGTATTTGGCAACGTTCTAGTTATTGAATCAACTCAAATACACATCAGAATCGTTACTTTTACTGACTCAAGAGAAAAAATCAAAATAGCAAAAATACCGAACTTCAAGGAAAACTCAAAACGGAAAGTCCTTTATCAAATGGCAAAATCAAAAGCTCAAACACATCAAACGAATGGAAAAACAACTGTCATATTTTAAAGAGAGTCACTGTAGTAGAAATCCATCAAACGTAGTTGTTCGTCTAGAAGTGTTAGCAGAAACAAAACACAATCGTCAACATGAACTAAAATTTTAAAGGCTAAATTGTGTAGGCTTTGGTCATATGTGCATATTGATTATATAGAAACAGTTTGTGTCATTGAATCCAGATCAACGGTTTACTATGAGATAGCCGCATTTTTGAATATAAAGAAATGCAAGTTTACCCCAAAATTAGTTTTTGACAGAAAAGAGGGAGGCAATGAAATAGTATGACAAGGCATATTTTACCAGCAAACCAGGACCCGATTGTTCATCTCTTGGTTAAAATTTTAACCAAAGGTTAAATATCATAACCCTTGGTTAATTTAAGTTGTTCATCATGTGGTTAAATTTAACCTGCTGTTAAATTCTTAGTTAAATGAATAAGATTTAACCTTGCTTTAGACCTCGGTTAAAACTTCAACTAAGGAATAAGGGTGTCTAAAAGTACGATTCCTTGTTCATAAAATTGATTGGAAATGTCACTGAAAGTTTGATACAACATATTCTTCGATTTCTACGAGCAATACATTAATCAAAAAATGGATTTTATGTTTTACAGTCTTTCCCCTTTTTTCATCGAGGTTTATGGTCCCTAGCAGACATTTTCAAATCAACAATCTTTTACCCTGTCATCTTCTATGTAAATATACATGTTGGTGCATAAAAATTAAACAAGGTTTAGTAAGATAATCAATTAATCTATACTCAAATACAATTATACGATCAACGCTTCTTTTCAATCAAAGATGCTTTCTGTTACGTCCGCGTTATAGATGCACTATTTAATGAACTCCAACGCTAATAAGCGTATTGTTTATTAAAGAAATCATATTTATTGACTAACCATTTTTCTAGGACCGGGGGAAAGTGTTGATAATTCTTTTTATTTAATGATAATTTAACCATGGGTTACATAACCAAGGGTTAAGAAGAAGTTGAATAACAAAATTTTAACCCTTGGTTACGTAACCCTCAGTTAAAAGATTTAATCCTAGGTTATATATAACCAAGTGTTATATTAACCGAGAGATGAACAACTGGATCCCGACGTTTAATTAACTGATTTTCTGTACCGCAATTAAACAATAATTCAATCTCATTTCCTACCAGCTATCATGAAAACGTATAAAAACTAAGCATAATACTGCAAGTGCTACTGGTGGCTTCCTTGTAAATTCAAAATCGTACTGTGTTACTCTAGGTATTCAGATTATCTCATTGAGTTCTGATTGAATACTAATTGTTGAGCTGAATGGGCGCTACATTTTTAGCAATTGCACTTTGCAATTCAGCTGATTGGCATAGGATATCAAATGTATGAATTGATATTTCAATTTGAAGATGGAACAGGGCAATGTTTCTACTCAACAGTAATCACAACATAAAGTATACAAACAAGTATTTGAATAGACTTGTAGACCTTTGTAGATAAATATTTCAAATTCATATGGTAAATCTTTTTTTCTAGTTTTAATTTTTGAGCAGAGTTTGTATGAAAAGTATTTACTGAAAAAAAAATATCTAAAGTATGTTTAATTTGCGTTAATATAATCTTGTTTGCATGATATAGATTAATAAAAATGAAAATGATAAGAAATAAGCTTTATTTTAGTAGACACAGTTTACAAAACAAAAATAGAAAATCAGCTATGCTGAGTGTTGATCCGACAAGCCTTCTTTTCACATGTTACACCTCTATAATTTAATTAAACGTTTTTGAAAGTGCAAAAGTTATATAAACATATGGGCTCTTACCTTTATACATAATAGTGTCGAGATCCTTTCGTATATTTGCCACAGCATTAGACAAATTAATTTCCCGTTCTCTTAGTATAGTCAGGCGCTCCAAATATGTCTTTTCAGTTTCTGCATCCATGCAACATTTTTCTAAGTCCTGAATCTTATATAAAAATTCTCCTTTTTGCTTTCCAGTGTAAATTTCCAATCGAATAGCAATGTCTTTGAAACTAGTAAAATAATCAATAAGATTAGAATCCGACACTTGCGCATTCCCCCTGTGAAGAATCTCATTTCTGATCCACCTGATTCGCTCAATATCATCTCCAGGTAATAATTCAGTGGCTGCTGGAGGAGTCTGGAAACCCCATCCTTTAGTTGGAGGAGGAACTAGATTTAAATTTCTGACAAGCTTATAAATCAGTGGTATATCAAAGTTAACGTAGCCATTTGAACGAACATTGTTGATCATTGTCCATTCATCTGCTCGCAAATTACGGTTAAGATACGTATTGCTTGTTACGTCACCATAAAGTCTATGTTGTGGTTCTGTTATTGCGAAAATATCCTGTAAAATATCTGGAAAAACTTGTTGTGCAGCATGGCCTATTCTAGCATAGTTTGTTAATAATGAACTACCACTGGGGGTCGTGCCTGACATGATTTCGTTATAAGATATGTTTTACATGTTTTGTTACACTTCACTACAAAACGTAAAAAAAACATAATTATAATCATAATAATAAAATTTTGTAATAATAACAGGAAAGCTATTCTTGAAAGTGTAAGGTCTTTCTTTTGAAATGTGACCTTGATCTTAGCTTTTACATTGTGCAGTTTTAGACATGAAAAAAAAAACATTGCTAGCGGCAGCTTGAAAAGAAATATCTTAACTACCACAATTTGGAAATAGCTGTACATGCAAAATAAATAGATAATTGTTTCTCAAAATCAAGAATGTAAAATTTTCGTACGGAAGTAAGAGACCCCTCATATATCAAGTAGTGTTCCCCTTAACAGTGCATTCTATAGGGGAGGGTTCTGTACCCGCAGTCATGTTTTACATCGCAACATCATGTATTTGCCTGTCCTAAATCATGAGCCTGTTATTCAGTTGTTGTTGTTTGTTGCTGTATGTCATATTTGTTTTCCGTTTGTTGTTTTCCCACATAAATCAGGCCGTCGGATTTTTCGTTTGAACTGTTTTTCCTTTGTCTTGTCGGGGCCTTTTATAGCTTGCTATGCGGTATGAGTTTTCCTCATTGTTGAAGGTCGTGAGGTGTCATATAGTTGCTTACATTTACATCATGTGGTCTCTGATGAAAAAGGGTTTCATTTGCAATCGTACCACATCTTCTTATTTTCATATTCTTCTTATTTTTCTTGAATGAACACAACAGTGACACAGTCCAGAATGGAGATAGGCATCGCTTAGAAATAAGTAATCAATATTTAAAAAGAACTATTTTTTTTATGTCTAAAAATGTAACTTAACTATACAAACATTTTCCATGTTCTTTTTTAAACTTGAGGAACTATTGTCAATCTACACATATAAATACAACTAATAAAGCCATGATTCAAGAGAACATTTACATAAATTCCTTTATATTCAAAATTATACATTTCAAGAAATGTATATAACTTTAAAACTGTTCCCTAGGAACAGATAGTATTCTGCTCTAAATAAACAGAAAGGAAGTATTACAACTAATAGACAGAAATCACAGAAACGTTATACTTCTTAATGTTGGTACTTTGTGTATGTGCAAATTGAAAACTCTGAGATAAATAAGCATACAGCATTGTTGATGATTCAAAGTTTATATGTTGGAAACAGTTCAAAACAATTTAAGTGAAACAAAGTATCACAATATCTAGATACTTGAAAATACTGATACAGACAATAGTTCGGCATTTCAAGCAAGGGTATTTACCAAACTGGGGTAAAGATTGATCTAATAAAAATGACGTGTTTGCTTTGAAATTGTCCTAATTTGTTTATATCTAGAGTGCAACTTGTTAAGACTAAAATGCATGAGATTTGTACGACCTCTGTGTGTTCTGTTTGAAGACAACTTCTTATTTCATTCGTTTTATAATTCCGTCAAAATATAAACAAGTTACGTCCTGATGTACAAAAAAATGTTCACCGGATACTTTTTTCTCTATCTCTTTCTGTTTCCGAAATATAAAGAGATTCAATGTGGAAAGGTCATTCTGACATTAACGTTCATTGTCTCACAGTAGTCTAATTTTTCCTTTATAGGAATTCGTGAAACATTTCATGTGATTATTTCCCATTTG